CAATTAAGTGGTCCTATCAACAAAAGCTTGATCTTAGCAAACATTCCTTCTTACAGCATCTTCTCAGTATCTTTACATCTTAATCAGTAACTTGTCTGTCCTTGAGCCAGGAACCTTGATGTGCCACAAATCTTTATCTTATACCAGAGACTTTATAGCCTGAGGAAAATTTCCAGTCCTCCACAAGATCAATATTTGAAATTGCAAGACTCTGGAAAACCAGGCCCTGTGAAGTACATTTGCTCTAAGAATCCTCTACATCTCCCCCCATTTTATTTATTTAAAAGAAAAATCAAAAGCTATAGATCAGGTTGGCACAGTTAAGACAAAAGCATTTAAAGCAAAGTTGGCATCATTTAGTTTGGCAGGTCCTTTTAATTTACTTCAGGTGAGGACTGATGATGTCATCATCTCCCAGGGTGGCTGCAGCAGCATCTCTCCAGGTGCTGTGAATTGGGTGTAGTTACCAATTGTTGAAACTCCAGAAAGGGATTCTGCTCCGCATAAAAATTGATTCTGAGTCTAGAGAGTTTGTTAATGTTAAACTGTCCAGGACATTATTGTTTTCAAAGCATGTAGTCTTTTTAAAAATTTTTGATCAATTACAAGTCTTTAAGAACAGGATGTCTCATTCAAGNAGATATTGTTTCTCCCAGCATGGCCAGGCGGCAGAGCTGAGATAACAAGGAGACATATTGATCTAGAGATAAATTTAGGTAAAAGGTTTGAATCAAATTTTGAAAATATATTTATCAAAACTTTAGAAGGTTTAAGTCATGTGAACTTGAAAAGCATACTTATTTAATGAGCGTGCATTAATTATAAGCCAATTTGGTACCTTGCACATAACACAATTACGCAAACAGACATGAACATATAGATGTAACATACAGCTTACACACACATATATGCAGACATAAACAACAAGAACAAACAAGGATCTTATAGGTTTTGTTTAAAATGTAATAGAAAAGCTCACTAGTGAAAAGGACAGTCAGGTTTATTGGTGAGGCCTCACCTTGCCTTAAAGAAAGCAAGATAACAAATTTACATTGTAAAGCAAAGTATGCAAACCTTTTCAAGAAGATGCAGAGAAGATTTTCTTCCTTTTAAGATAGCATAGAATTTTACTGTAGGATTTTGTGAAGAAATACATGGATGAGACCAGAAGAGAATTTAGAAGTCTATTTAAGATAACCAGGTGGATATCAGAAAATTTGAGACCATCTAGTTGAACAGGTAGATTTTAGTCTAGTTTTTGTTTCTCAAACTGGTTACTGAGCTTGAGAGCTGAGCCACCAATCAGAGATGAAATCATTTGACTCTTAAAGTTTTTAGGAGAAGAGCAGTAGACCCAAAAGGGGTCCGGTTGGTGCCATGGCTGCTTTTTTTCATAAAACTCCAGAATCTTCAGAGAAATAGAGTAGCTCGTGCAGTTAAGAAAAGAACCACTGCTTTTAAGAGAGGAGAGAAGGATCGTGCAGATAAGAAAGAAAAGCATGCTCAAACAATACCAATACTACAAAGAAATATTAACTTCCTTTACTTTAGATTGTCCAATTTAAAGTTTTCTCAGTCACTGGCAAAGATTAAGTTTTGTCCTTTTTTGGTGACATAAACATGTATTAGTTTTTTGTTAAGGTCTTGGATAGGTCTCAGAGCGACTTGACATAGATTCCTAGTTGT